AAAAGCTTCATAAATTTGGTGTCCACTAGTCTAGAATGCGTTTCAACAGAAACTTGTCCAAGAAAGATTGTTTCATTCTCATTTTAAATTTTTTTCTGAAATGTTAAACAATTGTTACTGAACAACACTGTTATTTTTTTCTATGCTCTTTTTCAATGAACTTGGCAATTACTTCTTACTTTTCTAGGATGTCCTTAATTTCAGCCGAAGAAATAGATTCTCTAACCTTACCCACTGATTATTAATTTCCTCCGAAACCTTTTTATACTCCTCAATCTGTAATTTATTTAACTCCTTGGTCAAAAGGATTTCTTTTAAGGGTTCAGATTTTAATATTTCAAAATACCATTCGAGCACAACCTCAGACCCCAATTTCTTCTGTTCAGAGTTAAAAGTAAATTCCATTTCACCTTTCAGGTGTTTTAAACCAGTGTTTCTCAACCAATGGTCTGCAGATTTGGCGGTTATTTTTGTCTTCATGATTTATTCATGAGAAAAAATTGTGCCAATAGGTCGAATTATTAAACTTACCAGTCTGCAAGAACATACTGAAATATTTTACCGGTCCTTGGAGTAAATCCAGTTGAGAAGCACTGTTTTAAACCAGCCTTTCTTGAATGTCTCTTCAGATTTATTGTTTGAAGATGCAGCAAACTGACATATATAGTTTATGCCTTCTCGACTACCTTGGTCATGTTATCTCCCTTGAGCTCCTTGCCTTCAGTCACACCAAAAGCAGCTTCTCCATCTTTTTATCAAATGAAATCCACTGCTTTGAAGTTGCAATGCACTTGGCTGTCATTATAGTCTTTATTTTCTCCTTCTGCTGCAATACCAAGTACACAGTAGCAATCCATGCTCGTACAACTTGGTCAAGTTGGATACATGCATACCTTGCTTATATTTATCAGTGATTTCATGCTTTAATTCTAGGGACATCATCTGCTCCTTGATAATATTTACTTTCTTAGTAATGATTGTTATTAATATATCTTAAAAATAATTATAAATATATATTTATATTAATTACAAGTATATCATAATAATAATGGCAATGGTCATGTGAAGAATGCGAGACTGAATTCACAAAATATTACAGATGCATTTAGTACAAGGTAACCACGCAAACTTAATGAGTGAGTTTGCATTTTGCTTTGTTTACAAGTAGCAACTAGTGGTGGTGCAGAAAACCTCTTGCTTGGGCTCATATCTCAAATTCTACCTGTCTCCAGATACAGACATTTGCTCAAACACCAACTCATACCTCAAAAGATCCCTCACAGGTACAACTATTTTCATTTCTCACATTCCCCATTACAATCTTGTTAATTATAACAAATGCAAATTTTTTTTCATTAAGCTATACAAAATAAATCTGCAACCGAAAACTGTAGGGTGTTTATCTTTGGTACCCCCAAAAATTTATTACAATTAGTGGCAGGAAAAAGACTGAACGAAGATTAACACTGCAAAGATAAAATACAGAGAAATACTAGGTATATAGTTTCACAATATAATACTATTCATGCCTCAGCATTAAAAGCACAAAGTTAAATTTACATATAGCTACAGCAAAAAATTCATGAAAATATATTAATATTCTGTCCAGAAAATTTGTAGACAAGGGGCATACAAATATTTTTGCCTTTTTCAGCTATATTTATATAGGTCTTAAAAACAGTTCCTTCTGTTAGTCATGAATTTTTTGGCAACACAGTTTACATTATTAGAAGAAATGGTGCAGGTATGGCTCCGTCTAGTCTTTAAGCTGTTTTCCTGAACTCAAACTATTTCAGTCTTGATATTTTTATGCTTCCAAAATTCTACTATCCTATTTTGACTTTTAAAATCAAAAACCAGCCACATAAGGGCAATGCAGACTTAAATGGTTCCAGCACAATATTTGAATCATGAACTAAGACTAAATTCCATAATAAATAATGCATTTTGGGATGGTCTTTAAACACCTCTTGTTTCTAATTTCTCAAAGAAAATCTCATGAACAGCCCTTTTAGCTCTATAGCAATCATTTTAATAGTTAAGTGTTATCAAGCTACACATAAAGACAATACTCAAAATAATATATTATCAGAGCATATACAGTTCAAGCACCATCCTACAATCATATTTTCTTTACCCTCTTGGAAATGCTTAACCTACTTGGTTGATGTTGATTGCTATATCATAAACTCTTCATAGCAGCATTTTATATACTTTGGTTCCATTCTTTTCAAACATTGGCGATAAATTTTACAGAACTTATTACTTCATTACAACACTGCTCTTAACTCCATAAAAAATTTTAGAATCTGCATAATAAACATCTAATAAATTAAAAATTAACTTGCATCGAAGAACACCTCATTGTGGTCATCACTTTCCACTTACAAACAAAAGAAAAAACATCAGTCCACAAATTATCTAGCTAAACTATGTGCACCTTAACCCTCTGAGTAGCCCGGGTTTTTGGATCTGTAATGAAGATTTGTATTCAAACAGCCTTTATTAACTAAATTCATACATGTACTTAATTCACTCTCTATTTTCATAAACTTACATTCATTAAGATGACATTTATATTATTAAAGAAAGTAAGAAAGCAAAATATCTTAAATTATAAGATAATATAAAACAAGTGACAAAAAATCTCATGACTGGATAAAGCCAGTCATGCCGCTCAGAAGATCAATAAAAAAAAAATCGATGAAATGCTAGGTCTTGATATGCTTTTTCTTTTTAGGTTTAATTTAAGGATTCTTTTATCGAAAGATATTTTATTAAACAAATTGTCAGTAATTTTCAGTAAATGAGTATGCTATCGAATATTATAAATAGACATCTACGAAAATTTTTATTTGTAGCTGCTCAAAAATCAGCAAAACTTTCCTTCCAAGGAAAAAATCTTACGAATGTCCTGATTATTTTTCCTTTTACAGTATTATAATCTGTAAATAATTTACTGAATTCTAGACCTCCAGTCAAACCAAGTTTAGTGAAAAACATTTGGTACTGTTCTGTTATCAGAACGGGATTCAGAAACAGAATGTATGTGTTCATGTATGCAAGTATAATATGTGAGCACAAATGTATGTATGTGTATACACTGGTGTGCAAAAATTAAGGACGAAGTCAAAAAATTAGCATATCAGCTGAACGAAGAGGCAGAGCGGACAGAAAGACCAACCAGGAGATTAAGTAAGGTGATGTACGGTAGCACATGCGCAGATATGCAGGTAGACGTAATGGGGGAGTGTATGAGTAGTATAAAGCATGTTGTCGGTATAAGATCAGTATTTTTGGCAAAGAGATTGCACGCCGTATAGCAGTTAAAATCACACCGAGTTGCTGCCTCAGCGAGAAATGGTGAATAATCAATCTGTTAGATGACATCTGGATGCTTTTACCCGAGGTCGAATCATTGGGAAGTTGGAGGAAGGCCGCAGTGTGACAAGTGTGGCTGCAGAGTTTGGAATTGCTCACAGCATCGTTTCACGACTTTGGAGACAATTTCAAACTACAGGAACAGCTATCCGGGGGTTTAGTAGTGGTCGTCCACGAGGAACCACACCCGCACATGACCGGTATATTGCCTTACAGGCCAGAAGAAACAGACAGCGGGAGAAATCGCTAGACACACGACACAGGCGACTGGACGACCGATATCGCGTTTTACTGTGGCCAGAAGACTGCACGGTGGTGGTCTGTTTGCACGAAGCCCTGTACAGTGTGTACCTCTAACGCCTGCCCATCGGAGAAGGTGTTCTCTGTGGTGCCGGGAACATCGAAATTGGAGAGAGAATGAATGGGGAAGAGTACTCTTTACAGATGAGAGCAGATTCAGTCTCAGTAGCGATTCTCATCGCATACTCATCTGGAGAGAGCGGGGAAGCCGCAATTATCCCTCGAACATCATTGAAAAAGACAGGTATGGAGGTGGCGGTGTTCTCGTTTGGGGAGGCATCATGCTTGGTAGTCGTACAGACCTTCACATCTTCGACGCAGGTTCAGTCAATGGGACCCGTTATTGTAACGAGATTCTTCTTCCATATGTGCGTTTTTTTAGAGGTGCTATGGGTCCGCAGTTCCTTTTCATGGACGACAATGCACAATGTCATCGCACAGTAGCTGCCGAACAGCTCTTAGAGAGTGAGGATATTGAACGTATGGATTGGCCGGCACGATCTCCGGATCTCAATTCCATCGAGCATGTATGGGATTTTCTAGGCAGACGCTTGGCAGCTCGTATCTTACCACCAGTAACGATTCCAGAGCTTTGATTGGCGCTGCAAGACGAATGGGCAGCAATGCCTCAACAACTCATTGACACCCTCATTCTCAGCATGGGCAGACGCTGTGAAACCTGCCTAGCAGTCAGGGGAGATCATATTCCCTATGATCAGGGAATATGATCTATTCAGGGGAGATATAAAGACCGGATGTTTCTTGCTGGACACCCATCACAGGGATGTTTCGGCCTTCAGTCGCATAGCGCTCCATGCTACTTTTTTAATAAAGCTTCTTTTTATCCCTCTGATTTCTCTTTTAGTAAGTGTTGCTTACATTACTCATGTCCTTACGTATTGGGGATCTTACTGTATTAAATGCGTTGATTTGGAAAGCTTTTGTACAAAGTTATATTGAAAAAAACCGTCTCGTCCTTAATTTTTGCACACCAGTGTACATATACACATATATACATGCACATACATTCATACATTTCTGAATCCAGTCCTAATAACAGAACGATACCAAACATATTTCTGATTTCATCCTGGATCATAAAAATACAAATTTTTAGATATGCAATTAATATTGCTATAAAATAATACTAAAATAATGCAAACTGAGGAGAAACTAAATAAATAAATCATAATTACTAATAAGAATAATACACTATAAATCATAAAATTTTACAGAAAAGAAATTTACGAATTCTTATCTCAAAAGAAAATGCATTTGATTACATGTTAGCAAATGAAATAACTAATTTTACATCATACCTTCCTAAATCAGTAATATATTTATGAACACTTTCAAATGCTAAGTAAAATCTTGTCAAAATATCAATGTAATTTTCTTTAAATTCTTCATCTCTATCTTGGAGTTGCTAAAAACAAAGAACAAAATTCTTTATACTGCCATAAAAGCAAAACAAAAATTTTTATATATATATATATATAATGTACGAAATTAGAGCTAATATTTCACAAAGATGAAAATTTTGAAATTCATAATTAATAAATTTCAAATAATCTAATAAAGGCTACAAAGAATTTAATAAATGTAAAAACCAAAACTTCTAAACTTACCAATACACCAATTCAAAAAATTTCCTTACAGAAATCAAAGGAAAAAAGAACATAACAGAAGAGTTGGGTAAAAGATCCAATTAGAACTTGTACTTTAAATAAAGAGAATTGTATTTTGTTAAAAGAACTGAAACTGAAAGTGAATAATTAAAGTACTTCAGTGGAAAAGTTAATCAAAATGTTACTTTTAAACATACACTGGTTATCATAAATTAAGGAAAAATTACAAAAATCATGATTACTGAAAAAGTTACATGTAGAATTTTATGAAACTAACCCACAATATACAACACATAGTAAGGTATCAAATAACATAAAAAGAAATAACAATACAATTATGGTGGTATAGAAATTAGCACATGTATAAAATGAACAAATCAAAGATGTCAGTTTGCTACAGTAAAAGTACCTTCAATATGGAATACAATCGCCTCTAGAAGCAACACAGCACATACAGCGATGTGTGATGCTTTCAATTATGCGGTCTATCATTTCCATAGGAAGCGAGAAACATTGCTTTTGCAAATTAGCTGCAAGTATGGCAAGGGTCTGAGAGGGTGGATTGAGAGCAGCTAGATGTCTCCCTAAGGCATCCCAAACGTGCTCGATAGTATTCAAGTCCAGGGATCGAGCTGGCCACTCCATGCGCATAATTGTTTCCTGTTGAAGATAATCATCTACGATGCGAGCCCTTTGTGGTCTTGCGTTGTCGTCCTGTAACAAGAAAGCATCACCTATTGCCCCAGCATATGGGCGCATATAAGCATCAAAGATGTCATCTCTATAAATATGAGCATTCACGGTTCCCCTTGGAAAGACATGGAGGTCTGTGCGTCCACCCAAAGAGATGCCACCCCAAACACAGACACTGCCTCTTCCATATGCATCTCTTTCACGGATGTTTGACGGATGATAACGGGTTCTAGGTTCTCTCCATATCAAATATCGCCTACTATGGCTTTCTAGACTAAACCTTGACTCATCCGTAAAGAGAACAGTCCTCCACTGATCAAGGGTCCAGTGGACATGTCGTCGTGTCTACTGCAAACGGGCTCTCCTATGGCGTGACGAGAGCGGCACGCAAATGGCTGGCCGTCTCGCATACAGACTACCTTCATGAAGCCTTCTACGCATAGTTGACGTTGACACCAACTCTCCTGTGGCTGCAGCAAAGGGAGAATCTAAGAAGAGTTGGAGTAGCGGTTCTACTCCTGCGTGCACATAATGTCAAATATCGGTCATCAGCGCTCGTCGTAGCAGTTGGCGCTTGGCTGAACCTTTAGGTGGCTGAATCTGTGATTTGATATTGCCTCCAAAGTCTATGAACCACAGAAGGACTCTCATTTAGCCATCTGGCCACTTCTGCTTGACTTTGTCCTGCCTCTAGTCTCCCAATGGCTTTCTGTTGCAGTTCTGCAGGCAAATGATGCCTGGAGATCATTGTTGCGAATTGGCTATCTCAGACTTCTGATGTCACTATCACAGTGAAGTATGTGGGCTTGCTCTCAAACATGGACTTTAATGCTCCTCACAGATGACGTATTCTGAGTGCAGTGCCACTAATTTGCATATCGCAGTTTTACTCAGCTACTCTTACTTGACAACATATTCAAATTTTACACGGTTTGGCTTATTTTTGAGGGAGTTATCGCAATTTTTGCGATTTTTCTGTAATTTATGATAACCAGTGTACATCACATAATCCAAAGTATTTTAAACTTTGGTGAAATAATAAAACTTAGGTGAAAAAAATTCAATTAAAACTGGTACTTTAAATAAAGAAAATTTTATTTTGTTAAAAATGTTGTTTCTTTCAAAAATTGTTTTGTAATATTATATACATATATATATATATATATGTATGTGTGTGTGGACGCATTATTTATATGTCTTTCACGAGACCATTCACAAAAGACTTATAAATGAGAAATGAAATTTTAATTTACAGAGTAAATCAAATGTATTAGCTACATAGTTTTGATACTACTAACCTTCTACTGATATTAATAATTTATTATTGGCATATTCAATTTAAAATATTAATTATGTTCAAACAATTTAAAATTAATATTTTAATAAATATAATTTTTTAATCTAAACAATTAAGCAAATTTTTATATTTATTAAAATATATTAATACGAATTTAATATTTTAAAAATCATAAGATGTAAATATATATTAATATTTATGTAAAACTGAGTAGTTATATAAAATAGTAGTTACATAAAGCTGGAAAAAGTCATATATTTATTTAAATTATCATCTATCTTTTTTTTGCCAAGAACATTTTAAAGCAAATATTTAAATTTACTTGAAATGTCCTCACTTGTCATCTGACGTGTCTCTTGATACTGAATTTTAAGCAAAGCACTATGAATCGAATTTAGTTCTTGAAATGTTTTTTCACTTATATTAATATATACACACGATTTTTCTGAGGGATAAAATTTTGAAAAGAAAGCAGGGTTATTTCTTCATTTTCGTCATCATCCACATTATTTAAATGTTCTTCTCATAACATGTTTTATATCAGTTCAACTGTGAATAAAGTCTGATGTTATTATATCAGCATCGCAGTTTACTTATTTCTCGATTGTGACATCTAATCACAGTAGCTTTGAAACTTCCCCATCTATAATCGTAATTTCTTCATTATTTTCATCTTCAACACATTCATTTGACTCAAAAGTCTGATTTGACTCATTAAGTTTTATTAAAGGAGGATTTTTGAGGTCTCAAAAAACCTCCTTTAATAAAACTTATGAGTCAAATCAGACTTTTGAGTCTCAAAAATCCTCCTTTAATAAAACAATTTTTAGTTGTTTGCGGTTTTACTTGAAGTCATGTAAGTAAAATCATATTCATAGTTTCAAGAATATTTAAATTTTTCTGTGTATTCCCTGTAGTTATATTTTGAGGGGCTATTAAAATCAACCCTTGCCTGTTGAACATTTTCAAATTCTTAAATGACACCCAAATCCAAAGGTTATACTGTACTAGTGCAACATCCCGGGAACAAAACGGCCTTTACATTTTGCAAGAAATCTGTCATTTAAGGATGGGCAGTAAGCTGATCCACAAAAAGTAGAATTTCACCTTTTGTTTCCTCATAGTTTTTTCTATTTTCATAAACCATTTTGTAAAAATATTCGTAGTCATCCAAGCTTTCTTTTTGCTTTATATTCTCACATCAGAGTCTTAACATGTTTAAAGATCCTTGGTTTTGTGACATTCCTGTAATTAAAGGAGTAATTTTTTCTGAAACATCAGCATCTGCACAAAGTAAAATAATGAGACACTCTTTACTTTGATTAATTACATTTCTCACTCGTGGTTAAATTGGTCACCTTCAAAAGCTAGATTCTTGTAGGTATAAGTTTAAAGAAAAGAGCAGTTTTATCAATATTATAGATGTTTTTGTAAATGTTTTAGTTCATATCCATCTATTTTGGTAGATAAATTCTTAAAATACACTTCAACCAACTCACCAAGCAGTCCTTTTTGATTTTGCATTTACTTTATGATATGAGATCACAATTTAAATTTAAACAATCATCCAGTTAAAAAGCAAGCTTCCTTCACATTCAATCAAAGAGCTATGACACTGAATGAAAAGTTTTTGCAAAATGGCTTTGACCTCAGGATTCATAATCTTGAACATGTAATTTATCTGTAGCCAACTGTTTGCAAATTTTTCTTCTTCAACTTTGCTTCTATCATAAACAAACCATTTTCAGTGTTAGCTCAGGAATATCTAGTTTCTTTGTTAATTCAGCTTTTGCCAAACCAGTATTTCTCATCAAGTTCTTTTAAGATTTGAATTTTATCTTTTAATGAGATTATCTTTCGCTTCCATAACGTTTTGTCTCAGTTAATAATGCTCCGCTTAAGTTTACTTAACACAGCACTCTATTCAGGGGGAAATCTATTTTTCCTTCCTAGTACCCCCCCCTCTATTCATAAACTGGTTTTCAATTCCTGTACCAGACTGTAATGTCTCATGCCTTTGCTTCCTTTTCCTAGCCCTATAACCTCGAAAAATACTCAAACAGCGTGACTGTGAAATGCAAAACTAATGTAGTAAGTCAAGCAGAACCGGGACCAAGATGAAATGACGTATAAATGTCGCTCTACTGTATATACATTAATCCTCTGAGTGGCACAGGATTTTAGATCCGTCATGAAGACCAGTATTTAAACAGCATTTAATAATTGAGTTTGTATAATTACTTATTTTAGTGTGTATTTTTATAAACTTACATTCATTAAGATGATATTTACATTATTAAAGAAAGTAAGAAAGCAAAATATCTTAAATTAGAAGCTAATATATGACCAGTAGCCAAACTTCTGATGACCGGATAAAGCCGGTCATAACATTTAGAGGGTAAATGACGCTGAGATAAAAGAGAGAAAGAAGATATATATCCTCATTCTGATATTTGAGAAAGTTCCAGACCTTGATGAGAAATATTGGTTTGGCAGTTAGGCATAATCACAAAATTTTTTTAAAGATATGCTCTTCAACTACTCCTAAAATATGCAGAAATATTCAGCTTCTCTTAAGCATAGTTACTTAAGAAACCTACAGCATCTGCGAATAAGTAAATAATGAATCCCTAGATAAAAAACATAAGGGGGGGTCAAGTAGGAAATCTAATTTTGTTCGTAAGTACAGCAGCTCTCTTTAGCCATTCTCAGCATAACATTTGAACTATCTACATACAAATTAAAGTACTAAAAGCCAATACTCAAAGTTTCCTTCCATACAAGAAAATGAGCAAAATATCGAGCTTG